TTCCTTGTTAGAGAGAGAAGCTGAAAGATACAGCTTCTCAAATTCCCTCCAGCACTGACTTTAGTAGTATTCACTTTTTCAATACAATTAATTTTTGGAATCAATGATACAAACTTGATTTCAAAATGTACTCTCATTTACAATAAATTTCCTAAAACTATCTTAAAACAATATTGTTCCTTGTCACACTTACTGCAAACAGAATAGAATATACATGTGTATAACCACACTTTTTCTTCACAATAAATTTGAATAAAAACATTCCAGACTATAGTGTGCAATGGTACACATAGTAGAGGATTAAAAGACTGCATGTTTGCAAAATGAGAGCCAAAACCAGTCTGTTCAATTTACAAGACTACAAGAGTATGTTATTTTTAAACAAGGGTGCCATAGTCACAAAATACGCCCGTTTACGAAAGCTTTAGATGGAGATGGGGCATTATGGATAAGTGTTATCTAGCAAGCAAGTTTTTATTCTTGGCACTGTGTTGTTAAATGAACCTTAAAACAAATCAGTAGGGAAGATATGCACAGGATGTGTGACCTTGACCTTGGTCGCAGGGACCTGAATTTAATGCACGGCACTCAGCCTCACAATGATGAACATTTGTGCCAAATTATATTGAAATCCCTCTATGCATGTAGAAGTTTTGCTCCAGACAAGCGTTTTTCTATGAGCTCTAACTGTGACCTTCACCTTTGACCTAGAGACTTGGTTCATGTGCAAGGCACTACGTCTCATGGTGGTGAACAATTCTATAAAGTAACATTAAAATTCCTCCATGCATGTAGAAAATATGCTTCGGACAACATCTGGATATTTAATCATCTCCAGTGACCTTGACCTTGCAAATATTAACCTAAATTAAATGTGTCACACCTGTAGTCATGATAGTTACCATTTGTGCTACAATCCATCAATAAATGATGACTAAATGGTCCCTATACACATCTTCAAATTTTTATCTGAACTTTGACCTCTATGTGTAACCTTGACTTTGGTCGCAGGGATCTGAATTTTGCGTGCGACGCTCAGCCTCACAATGGTGAACATTTGTGCCAAGTTATATTGAAATCCCGCTATGAATGTTGAAGTTTTGCTCCGGACAAGCGTTTTTCAATGAGCTTTAAGTGTGACCTTGACCTTTGACCTGGAGACCTGGATCATGCATGGAGCAATACATATCATGGTGGTGAACATTTCCATAAAGTATTATAAAAATTCTTCCATACATGTAGGAGATATGCTCCAGACAAAATCTGGATATTTAACCATCTTTAGTGACCTTGACCTTGCATATATTGACCTAAAGTACATGTGTCACAGCCGTAGTCATGATAATGACCATTTGTGTTACAATCCCTCAATAAATGATGATTAAATCGTCCCTATACACATCTTCATATTTTTATCTAAACTTTGACCTCTATGTGTGACCTTGACCTTGGCTGCAGGGACCTGAATTTTGTGCACGACACTCCGCCTCACAATGGTGAACATTTGTGCCAAGTTATATTGAAATCCCTCTATGCATGTGGAAGTTTTGCTCCGGACAAGCGTTTTTCAATGAGCTCTAAGTGTGACCTTGACCTTTGACCTAGAGACCTAGTTCATGTGCGTGACATGGCTTCTCATAATGGTGAACATTTCTATGAAATTTCATTAAAATCCCTCCATGCGTGTAGGAGATATGCTCCGGACAAAATCTGGATATTTCATCATCTTTAGTGACCTTGACCTTGTATATATTGACCTAAGTTATATGTATCACAGCCATAGTCTTGATAATGACCATTTGTGTTACAATCCCTCAATAAATGATGACTAAATGGTCCATATACACATCTTCATATTTTTATCTGAACTTTGACCTCTATCTGTGACCTTGACCTTGGCCGCAAGGACCTGAATCTTGCGCGCGACACTCCGCCTCACAATGGTGAACATTTGTGCCAAGTAATATTGAAATCCCTCTATACATGTGGAAGTTTTGCTCCGGACAAGCATTTTTCAATGAGCTCTAAGTGTGACCTTGACCTTTGACCTAGAGACCTGGTTCATGTGCGCGACACTGCTCCTCATAGTGGTGAACATTTCTATCAAGTTTCATTAAAATCCCTCCATACATGTAGGAGATATGCTCCGGACAAAATTGGACGCCGCCCGCCCGCCCGACCGCCTGCCCGCCAGGGGCGTTCCCATAATACGACCCGTTTTTCAAACAGGGGTATAAGAAAAACTAGAAATGTGTCATCATGCCACGGATGCCCCCGCATGCAGCCAAAATTTCAGATGTTATAATATTTAGTTCCAAATTTGTTTGCACAAATTATTTTTTTCATTTGCAGTTCAAAGCCCTTAAAACTTTTCAATGTTAACACAAACCATTTTCATACAATGTTCAAAGCACTGAAATTATTTAGTCTTAACCTTTTGAAAATAGCATATTTCATATTTGTAGCCAAAATAATGGCTACATACATTTCCACAAAAGTATGAGTGCTGAAACTGAAAGTTCAAAATTTTTCCAACATTCAAGAAAGATAAGTTTGTCCAAAATCATTGAACCACGACCAAATTCAAACTTAAACTGCTTATTCCTAAGATGTATCTATATTATTTTCAAAGTGAAAGGGACATAACTCTGCCAAAAAATCATCGAACCAGGACCAAATTCCAACTTGACCTGCCCATTCCTTTGACATATCCATATGTCAAATTTGAGTTGAATATGTAACACTGTTGGGGAGATAATAAATAGAAACTGTAAATTTCATATTATTTTCAAAGTGAAAGGGGCATAACTCTGCCAAAAATTATTGAACCACGACCAAATTTGAACTTGACCTGCGCATTCCTTTGATGTATCCATATGTCAAGTTTGAGTTGAATGTGTTGTAACCGTTGGGGAGATAATGAATGGAAACTGAAAAATTTCATATTATTTTCAAAGTGAAAGGGGCATAACTCTGCCAAAAATCATCGAACCATGACCAAATTCGAACTTGACCTGTATTTTCTCAAGACATATCCATATGTCAAATTTGAGTTGAATGTGTTGTACCTTTGGGGAGATAATGAACGGAAACTGAAATTTCATATTTTTTTCAAAGTAAAAGGGGCATAACTCTGCCAAAAATCATCGAACCATGACCAAATTCGAACTTGACCTGTATTTTCTCATGACATATCCATATGTCAAGTTTGAGTTGAATGTGTTGTACCGTTGGGGAGATAATGAATGGAAACTGAAAATTTTATATTATTTTAAAGTAAAAGGGGCATAACTCTGCCAAAAATCATCCAACCATGACCAAATTCGAACTTGACCTGTATTTTCTCATGACATATCCATATGTCAAATTTGAGTTGAATGTGTGCAACCGTTACTTAGATAATGAACGGAAACTGATGATGACGGAATGACAGAATGACGGAATGACGGAAGGACGGAAGGACGGAACAGGGTAACACTATATGCCCCGGCCATTACATGGCGGGGGCATAATGATGGATCTTCATGATATTTCTATGATTGGATATAAAAAGCCCAATCTATCTTTCACCATTCTTATAATACCTAATAATTATAAGTTTAATTAATACCGTTTGTATTTTTTCATCATACTCTGTCATATATTTATCTATTTCTGTTTGTAATGCAGCAGTATCTACCACATCTTCTTTATATTCCCTGATCCATTCTGAAAACAATAATCAAATTTCTTATTTCTGAAACATTCACTTTTAAAGACAATGTCATAAGTTATTTTAATGTCTAATGCACATAAGTTAAACAGACCAGAATACCAGTAACTGAAATATTTTAGCTCCAGCATAATTATCATGACCTTGACCTGACTGCCAGAACTTTGAAAATAAAAATCATATTATCATCAGTCACAAGAAAGTTACAAAACAATACAAGTAATGTTAAAATAAATAAGTTCTTACTTGTCTAGGCATTTTATGACAATATCCACATTTTGTTTTATAAGTAGTCTATTTTAAAAATTGGATGGGGTCTAGTAAAATCCATTGGGGGTCAATGCTTTTGAAAATCAAAATAAGAAGCAAAATATGGGGAATGATTCAAGATAAGGAGTTTGCCTACGTTCATTCTCAAAAAAAATATTTTGTTACATACAGTTTATGATAAGAAAGATTGTTAAGAAACCAATAACTTACTATTTAGTCCTGTATCAATACTTTGGCCACCCTCTTTATGCATGACCAAAGGTTTATCATATGGTAATGAAGTTATTGCCTTCACAGAAGACACTTTCTTGAAAACAATATATGCCACCATATAGCCCTACAAGTATAAAAACAACACCTATAGAAATACTGATTAATATATCATGGATTACAACAAGTAGAAGCACTTTCAAATATACACAGCAATTTTTGACTTGGTGATGCCAAATTAATGTAAATGACATAGTTCTGAGTCTTCAAATAGTCGCGCTAAGAAATTTGTAAATACATTCAACTTTGTTTCAAATCTTATGTACTTGATGCCAATTTATCATTAAAACTATCGCTATAATCTATATCTACTCTAAAAATAATAAAATATTGTTTACATGCTCTATTACAAGTACATGTATTTACATTTTGTTTCTTTATTCTGTTCTTCAGATATAGAGGATATTGAATGAGTGTAAGTTTAATACTGAATTTATTGAACATGTTGAATAAAATAATACTGTAAAATCATTATTATTCTTGGGGCAAGAATTTTCGTGGTTAGGTCAATCCACAAATTTAAGATCCGACAAAATTTTATTCCAACAATTACTTCTAACCGTGTCTCTATTCTATACATGCATCGCCACTTTTCCGGTTGATTATTGTGTTATGATGGTATACAGAATGATAATCAGGTAAGTGACAGATTAAATCTATGAAATAGTTTAGGTTTGCAATATTTAAGAAACTTGAAAGGAATGTTGATTATATGTCCTGAATTTCAGTTGTATATACACATCACTGGGACTGCTTAATTGTTGTAGGCTACTCGATTGTGTTATCCAGAATACTTGACATAATCGAGTAAAATTGGGAAACCAGTGCAATAATTAGCGCCAATATAAATTTTCAGTTTACTCTTAAAAATTGTTAATAGAATTAAAGAAATCTTTGATATTAATGTCGTAAGTTAAGTACAAACACAAAAAAATAAACAATCACTAAAACGGATAAATTGTACATCCTTTTGTCCTCTTAAAATGATCCAGTCTACATGAATTTAATCTGTATTTGTGCGACTACTATTCTGTAAACATCAAAGGCGCTTCCAACTTCTTAATAAATCTGCACAATCTCGTTTTATTTACTCATATTAATTTATATGCATGTAAATTTACACAGTCAATTTGATGTGTAGATAATGTCAAATATAGTAAGACCGATTCAGGGTGTAAACTTTTTAAACTCGCTGGTTAAGGGGTCGTATAAATTATGCAATGTTTACATCGGCGAATCACAGGGGCAGTGTGTACAATGGAGCTGCATATCATGTCATCTAAATGTGTTAATTGCAGTCAATTATCGGCAGTAACTGCTATCTTTATGTTATGCCTAGAGGCAAGGATTAGATTATTGACAAGGCTGTGTGATACGTAAAGATATGTTCATGCAGTAAGTAAAAATGCGTGGCGATTAATTGTAAGATTACTTTACATTAGGTTATTTTTTTTACAAGAAAATGAAAATCCACGAATTTAAGAACCCACGAAAAGGCCCGTTTTGATAAAACCACGAAATTTCATGCCCACGAATATAAGTGAATTTGCAGTATTATGCGAGCCTCTGGTGAGCGTAACATTATTTTATTAAAAAAGTTCAATAAATTTAGTACTGAATCTACACAAGTTTAATATTCTATTTATCGCATACCAAAACTAAAAGACCGTTGGAAGTGAAAAAGACCCATGTTTCATTGACGTGCCTATAGTATAACGCTAATATTTAAGGCGTCTTAATACTATGTTTATTTAACGAAAATGATGTCACGTCAAAATATATGCACAGCCATGCAATACCATTTTTACGGAGTCATAAAAGCTGCACAGGTGTGTGCTAAAAACATAATATATACTACAACTTATACTTTAAGGGGTCTTACAAGGTAATGAAGTATTTTCTGTAAAAAAATGTTACAATAAGAAAAGAAAATGTAACATAATATGAGCCGCGTCATGACAAAACCAACATAATGGGTTTGCGACCAGCATGGATCCAGACCAGCCTGCGCAGTCTAATCAGGATCCATGCTGGTCGCTTACCAACTCTATTACAAGTAGAGAAACTGATAGCGAACAGCATGGATCCATGCTGGTCGCAATCGCACAATGTTGGTTTTGTCATGACGCGGCTCATATATGTTCTTAATACTTGTATGACTGGTGCTGTGGGGAAGAACGTTGATGAGTTGACGGTAGGTGGCCCAGATGTTGGTTTACTGTGAAAGAAGATCCTCTGTATTGTGCCATATCTTTCAAACATTTCTCTAAAGTGCCCCTGTGCAAGTAAAACATATCTTGTTAAATGTAAGGAATAAACATCTATAAAATAAAGGATTATTTTGTAAGTTTTATAATAATTATTTGCTTTAGAAAGTTGTTCTTTCAAGCTGCCCAGTTAGTCATACTCCCTTTAACACATTCTTATCTCCTAAATCAAGCTGATTCACTAGAATATATAACTTACCAATTCCACTTTCTGTGCAACAAACTAGTATTTCATAAGGTTTTTTTTACATTTTTATTATACGTTTTGGCATATTCCTTGGAACATTTATAATTATTTTAACTTGTATGTTCATAATACTTTATATATTACATAACATTCCTAATCTACATCTGACTTAGAATCTTTGACTTTTTTGTGTTAAATCATCATAAAATCCAAAGAAACAAATAATAACAAGAGCTCTTAGAAGGACAGCATGCTCAATTATTCTCATTGCTTTATAGTAGAACAAGAACCTGGATAATGTAGAATTTTTTTTAATTCAAAAATGTCTATAATTCTGTCAAAATCCATGTTAGAGTTATTGGCCTTGAGCAGTGACCTCTAATTATGGTCTCAAGTAAGTGAGTGAAGTTTCAACCCATTCCTTCTGTAGTTTTAGAGATACCAACTTGCACACAAAACTTAACCAAAGTGTGACATCAATGCTGGGATAAGTACAATAGCTCTCCCTAATTTTATTTTTTATAAAATTAGCTCCACAGCTTTCAGCAACATTTGCTCCTGAAGCACATTCAAGAGTTACACTTACAAGATAAAAGTAATTTAAGTCTGTATCGCAGAAAAGATAGCAAGCCAAATTAACAAAATGATATGAATGCTGAAATATTTTACAAACCTCCTCACAATATGGTGGAACATTTAGAACAAAAAGTGTTCTTTCTTTAGGTTTGCAATCCCTTGCATCTCTTATGTTGTGTTCTTTCACATACAAGTAATGATGACATGTACTCTTTTCCTCTATTTTCAATGGCAAAACTAAAAAATATTTTTTACAAAATAATAGTTAAAACAGAATTCAAATCAATATTGTTGTTTGTCTTTTTCTTTTTTAATTGTATAGTTGAACCTTTTATGGGAAAAATCAAAACAAAAACATCATTTCCTTAAAATTAATTTTATGCACATGCATATAGTTCATAGAAAGTCTATGCTTTATGGTCATTGAATACGAGTCTGATTCTATTTTTAGTTAGGGCTAATCCAATTCAGCCAGTGAATATGATACCACATCTCATGCATATGATTTACGCTGTATCGTCAGTACGGTCATTGGATATGAGCCTTATCATATTTTTAGATTGGGAAAATCTAATTCAGCCAGTGAATATGATACCTCACCCGCTGAAAATGATTTTCGTTTGACTACTGTTCAAACCAATAAGATTGCAGCTATTTTTATATCATATAATAAAATCATTTCATGAATGTTAAGTTATTTGTCATTGCATTAATGTATAAATTCCTAAACATAATTTGACAATTAAATCCTATTTTATCATCTTTGCTATTCTTTGTCATGCCTTTCAAAAATAAACGAAATGTTGAATAAACCCTAGGACATAGATATTTCCTCATTCCAGTTTTTTTTTGTCAGTCTACAGAGGGAACGTATGCAAAACAGACAGCGGATCGATAAATAAGCGTATTGTGTAAATCATATTATTGATACCATTAGAATAAAAAAAATCACACTGATAAATGTTCAAGACATCATCTTAAAATAATTTAAATATATACAGACATAGGACTAAATATTATACTCTTACTAAGTTTCACCAATTGGCTTATAAAACTATTTCTCTTATTCACACTATTCACTCTGGACACAACAAAATTACAACAAAGAAAAATGGCAGTGTGTGGGTTTTATTGAATGAAATAATACATACTAATAGCAGGGCTTTTTTCACAGGCTGGGGAAGCAGCCCTTCAGGAAAAAGTATGGTATTTTTGGAAAACTTCAATATTTTGGGAAAACTGCATGATTTAAAAAAAAAATTTCATCGGGTAAGTCGCCCTTAAATGACCCCTGCTACAGATAGAAAACAGCCCTGCATAGTGTCAGTCTTTTGTTGCTTGTCCCATTAAATTATGTCCGAGGTTGAACACTATTTTCCCACTTACAAGTTCTTTCCCTGACATTTCCTTCTTGACCGTTCTCCCCCTATTTTGGCGGAGAACAGGGCGGAGAATAGTCAGCACATGTGCAGAACACAGGTACTTGAAACAAACTATTTTTAATGTTCTATCTATGGGCTATTTACTATAATACGGGGAAGTCATAGACCGGGCCCGCCTTGCCCGGCTACAGACTACACATGTATATTTAAAAGAAAATGAAATAAAATACAATTAAAAAATATATAGAATTCTATACCTATCAATGAAATTTCAAGTGTCAGTTCTAGTTGGCCGCCGCCATTTATAATGTAACTTTATGATAATAGGGGGAAATAATTCCGATAACGGAACAAATCTCAACTTTTCTTATTAATGATAATAGTCAAGTGTTCCGAGTGAAAACGGAAGCGGTGCATGAAATGACAATGACATCTTTAGAACAGAAAAATGAAAGAAACTTTTTTAATGACTTCCCAGTTCATAGGCTTTGCCATGGAGTTAAATATAAGATGGAGAAGAGACTGTGATGTCACACAGTTAAACTCAGTATCGGTGGAACAAGTTATCATATGTCGCGAGATTTTGCGAGAATTTATGCATCCTGGGTAAAAGTAGCCAAAATACCGCCATATTGAATTCCCGGAGGTACGTCAACAAAAAAGACTAAACATTTTTTACTTATATAAGAAGCAATAGTTATTTATTCTAAAACGTACAAAACACACTTTTCCACACAAATATTTCTCCGAGGCAATGTCAGCAATAATTCACGGATATCACCGAAGTTAAACGATAGCGTGAAAATCGGAGACTAGTTGGAAAACCTGATTATCACCAAAGCGCTCAAAGGATTGTGAGTCTGAATCGGACTCTCGTCTAATTTCGGAGTGTTCTATCCGTTGTTTATATATCTGTGGCTTTGCCTAATTTCATATTTAACAAACTATTTTTAATGTTCCAGATGAGCAAATACTACAATAAATCTTACTATAGTATAAAGCCCATATAGAACATTAAAAATAGTTTGTTTCAGCACGGATTTATATTACATATATAATGTATGTAATATAAATCTGTGGTTTCAAGTACCTGTGGTGAAGAAAGTTCATCCTAGTGTTGGGTATTGGACTAAAAAATCACTATCGATAATCGGACCACCAAAATCGATTGTCTGCCAATAGTATAATCGAGTTTCATATTTTTATGGCCCTTTTTTTCAAGGTACCAATCCTTGTATTTATTTTTTATACAGTAGTGACCACATTTTGAGAATAAATAAACTCTTGTCTCAAGATTAAAGTAAGATTTACAGACTTATATAATGTACAGACTCAATCAAACCGATTCTGCAATTCTCTTGTAATTTTGTTGTGATTAATGCTTCCGAGGGATCACTTTATTTCCAGATTGTTTTACTCTTTGAATTCAAAACAAACAACGCAAATACCTAATACAACTTTGTGACAGGTAATTTTTGTATAATACAACTTCATGGCAGTCAATATTAGTCAACAGGTCAAAATATTGTAGATCACTAATTTAACTACAGTAGATGTGTAAGTTTGTAAGATTGTTATTACACTATAATTTTCTAAAGTAATTAACAATACAGTATAGGCAATTCAGCTGTGGTATAGAACATTAAAAAAATCGATTTTTAAAAAGGACTATCGATTGTCGCCGATTTTGGGGCGGTCCGATTAGTTATCGATTTTCAGACACAATCGGGACAACACTAGTTCATCCCAAATTCTTTTTTATAAACAATAATACTGGCAGATTTTTCAATTGAATTAGTAATTAAAACAAATTAGACAGGACTGGCAGATATTAATAAAAATCATGTTTCATTCAACTTTAGTAATAGTTTCAAGAAAATTATCGGCATCCGAAATAACAACATGTCCGAATTTAATGCACTTAACATTTACCTCAATATAAGACATTTCTATATTTTGAAACGAAGGAATACGAATGTTAAACAATACAGGCACTTTGCCAGCTTATTTAATTTCATAAGACGTGTATACACAATTTAATGTGACTGATACCTGTGAATCCTTGAAAAACAACACTGGAAGAAGCCATGTTGTTTTGGCGAGCTTGATTAGAATGCCGATCGTGAAGAACATATTCTCAATCACAGGGCTCACAAGTACTTATAATAAGTAACCAGCTGGTGTAATAAGTAACCAGCTGGTATATACATGTAAAATTAAAGTAGATCGAAGCAAAAACGATCTTTCAAATACATTCAACGTATAAAGCACACTTTTTGCAGTAAAATCAACATAATAATTTCACATATACATTAAATTTTGACACATTAAAGCAGCATAAAAAAAACCCAGAAATGCTTTAAATTTTATCTTTTATTTTTTGTGGCCTGATAAAGTTTTGAAAATTACTTTTGGGACAATTACTGAAACCATCTTTTGCTCCTGGTTCTTTTTGGCAATAAGGAATGTGTACAGTGATTTAGTATTTTGTATGGAAGTCAAAAATACTAATGTTTACATATTGCTATTTTTATGACAAATAATTTCACATTAAGGTGACAACGGAGTCAATTATCACTAAAAATACCTAAAATGAGATTTTTTGCTAAGTAGATTTATCAACCTTTTCTGAACACATTCGTGATTTAATTTTGGAAGCAGTTAGTCCAAAAATGTGTTTTTAAACGATTTAAAACGGTACCTATACTATTTGTATCTGCTATTCGCGTAACCTGTCGATTATCGATAACGCTCCGCCCCCTGTTGAGGCATCAATGAGGGAAATCGGTAGTTCCATATATCCGTGAATTACAGGTCCATACTGGTCCATACTTCTCGTAATACATGTATCGTTCATCTACCGTACATCTTTTATGAATATCTCAACATTTAGCCTTTTTTATAAATTAAGAAATTGTCGGCCAATGTACGTAACATAATGTATGAAACATAAATAATTAAGCATAGCGGCAAATCACACGACCACGGGGTTGATTGAAAATGTAGTTGCTAAAATATCCATAATGTGTGAAAATAATTTGTCTATCCCGTTAATCTGATATATATTTCAATTCAATTCAATTCAATATCTTTATTGCATTAAACATTTTACAATGCTTATAGCACATACAAATATATAACATTGAGTTGATAGACTTTTGTACGGATTCAAGGGCTTACTTTACATTCAACCTCGTTTTCTAACAATGTCAAGTAAAACAACAACAGACGACATTTTTTATGTGAACGCTTATATGACTTGTGGTAAGGTGTCCCTGACAAATTTCTAAACCATTTTAGATTGTCTAAGGATGTTTATTTCTCTATGAATAAAAAAAGATATTAAAATATATTCTCAGTGAAAGTAAATTGTTCGCCAGTAAATCCGACTCAGTACTAATAAATCTGGGACAAAGTATGAAATTTATTGTCTATCCCGGTAGAAACTGGATCTCTATGCCGTGCATAGATGATATTCATGATAATAGAAGTCAAGAAGGCCACATCATAATGATCGAGTAATGCCTTTTATTTCTGTTAAAATATGTGAAGCATTATCAATTTGGTGGAAAAAATATATACTATCCCGTTCTTATTTGTACATCTACCATGGACTTTTAAAAGACTGTCAGAAGCTCAGTTTTTTGTTATTTTATTTTATATTTTAACGGAATTTCATACACGAATACACAGGCAGAGTGACACTGGTATAATACAATAATAATGCTGATGATAATAATAATAAACTTCAAATAGGAAACAATTAAATACCCCGCTAGCGGTGCGCAAATGCGTTCCATTTGCCCCCACTGAGTGCCTCAAATTTTACCGATAGTCACGTGACATGTGCGACAGATACCAGACGAACAGTAAATCACGTTAAGAATTGAAGAAATTTCGGCTATAAACTGATATTAATCAGCAGCTTTTTAATTGGTCAGATGTCACTGGGTCATAAAATGTTGTTAGAGTATGTTACCGCAACTTGTGACCCTCTCTGGTGCGATATTTGTGTATTATGCAATTATCTAGCGTAAAACGTAGGGGTCCGAGAGAGAACAGCCGATTAATGACACTTCGTTTGATGCGGGTCGGACTAACTTTGAATCGGCATAACTTTTTTGATAATCAAGCAATTAACATGCGGTTTAAAGCACATGAAAGGAAATTCATTTACGGAGGGAACCGTGTCAGGGATTTTTGTTTGCTCAATCAGCGACTTAATTATCTTTAATTACGTAATATGTATGGTGAAAAAAGTCGCATATTTTGTTTGACGTTACGTAATATTTTTTTGAGAAAAGATATAAAAAATTTGAGACACGGTTCCCCAGATAATATAAGTATGGTTATTTTCCAAAAGTTTGATGACAAAAAAATAAAAAATGACTTTGATATGACGATTTAAAATTTTAGGATTTTATTCAAAATCAATCATTTACAAAGGCATTTTTTTCAAATATGTTATTTTTTATGATGATCAACGACATTTAATGCACAAAGATTAAATGAATAACAATTATTACTAAAATAACTTGGTTTAAATGACATTTATGTGAGTACCACGGAAAGTGTCTGTTGTCACCTTAAGTTCCACTATCTTTAGTTGATAAGCATCTAACATGTTCTAAAACCATTATTTAAGCATTATAAAACTTGTGTTTGAACTTTCTAAAAAAGGAAAGAATTATTTGTTTCTGAGGAATAATGTGCCTTAGAGATCCTGCAACCACAGATCTTAATTACATATAAATCTGTTCTGTAACTCATTTTTGTATGGTTTTATATCATAAATATAATTTTTTTAAATGAAAATTTATCAATATTGTAAGTTCCAAAAAGCATAATTTGTAATGATATTACCAAATTTACATTTCATGTTAATAAAGGGAGGTAATTAGAAATTTATTTTCAAAAAAGTCTAAGTCAAATTTTTCAATAAGAAATGAATGCATATATTTTAATGATTACATATAATGTAGACAAATAATTTGCAAAACATATTTTACATATTCTTCAATGTTTGAAAATTGTTTTAGAAGCATAATTATATACATATATAAAATTTCACTCAAGTTAACTCATTACTTCATGAGCATTTTGTGAAAAATGGCTGTTTTCATTGAATAGTCTCTGTTACAACTTCAAATTGCTATAAAATATAAAAGCTGCTTCAATACTAATCAAACTTGGCACAAGTGTTGACTGGACCATTGCCTTTGCAACAACATGCTCAGACTTAAATTTCCTGTTACCATGGCAACGAGGGGACATCTCAAAATTGCCAAAAATCAATTTTGCATTAATTTTATTTTTTCCATCAAAATTGATTTCAAAGTGCTGCAACTTCTCAATGGATTGAGATAGAGTCAAATGCTTTTCAGCATTGGTTACACGTTACCTTATGATTGATCTGGGGTCATTTTTAGCCTCTCAAAAGTCCAAAATTTGCTTGACGATGAGGATTGGATTGAGATGGATTGAGATAGAGTCAAATGCTTTTCAGCGTTGGTTACACGCTACCTTATGATTGATCTGGGGTCATTTTTAGCCTCTCACAAGTCCAAAATTTGCTTGGCGATGAGGAGGACTGCCGCCCCCCTTCAAACCCCCCAAACAGAAGGGGACACATCCTCCTTCTGTCAACCCCCCGATGTATCTTTTGGTTGGGGGGCTGCACCAAAAAAGTGGTCACTTTTTCAAACAACATTTCTCAAACAAAAACAAGTGTTGGGGAAATAAATAAGGCTTTTTCACCATTTGAGACAACGAAAAAAGGGGGGGTGAAAAAGGCGTTAAAAGGCGTGTATATCACGTAATGGGTTAATTACAACATACAGGATCTTTAAAAGTAAAATACATGTATTGTGAAGTGAACAAATAAAGTAGTTTACACTCACAATCCATGTAAATTACCAAAAACATGGTCAAAATATCTAAAAATAGTCCTTATTGTGTTAGAAACACAGTAAAAATATGGTGATAAAATATTTAAAATACTGAAAAAATCAGTCAGTAACTGCACAGAACATTTCTAGAATCTAAAGGTTTTAAAGCCAGATCTTTTGGTCAACACTTAGATAACTATAGCTCAGCATTAGTGGAGACAAATTTTCATTCTCCAAGTCTTAAGGCGGAATTCTTTATTTTGCAACCCATCACCCAGGGTCATAATTGCTTCCTCCAGGGCCATTTGACAGTGTACACGTAGTACAACATCTTTTGTCAAGGACAACATTTCTACCCAAAATCAAATATGTGAGCCTTGAGATTTTTAAAGGTAAGGTTTTTTCTTACCACCAAAAAAAGCCAAGGGATACAATAATGTAGCAAGAAGTCAAATGACCTTATCATATAAATAAAAGGAAATGTTAATTAATCCTTTGCTTGGTAAATCAATATAATATATAATTTTGAAACCCCCCAGTTGTTGATTTTATAAATTTTAGCATCAAAATCGTACAACAATGTCAAATCTGATTTGCTGTGCATACAGGGGTAACATGGGCCTTACTTTATTTTGAAGATATTGTGGTCAAGGTCTACATAATGGATAATCAAATATGATAAACAAGATCGACAAGGAAAGGCGCATTCAATGAAAGCAGCCCCCACCCGACCCAGCAACAAGCGCCAGCGGCAAGGAGCCCAGGAGGACCCCAAAGAAAAACAGGACAGGGCACAAGGCAGAGTACAGGCAGGCAAACCACTACATCAGAATACATAATTAGTAACTTATAAGGAACTAAAACAACACAAATAAATTATTTAATATAAGGCCCATAATATCAAAAGGCACAGGAGAAGGGGACATGAGACACGGGGAAGGGGGGAGGGAAATAAAATGAATAAAAACTAGGGACAAAGGGAAGATACTTACTGTAGACGAGAAACAACAAGAGACACGAGCAAAAGTGTCACTAAAACAGTATAAAACAACATAGACATACATCTGAGGATCACAGAGGGGCGCCGCATTGGAACGGTCAGCAGCATAAGAAATACTGGGGAGTTTAAACCGGTTAATGGTGCACCAAACCTTACTCTTAGCCCCACCATGTTCCTATAAACGAGACAAGTGTAAATAAAAAGAATCCCCGCAAAGTGAAATTCTAACAGTTTTTATGGTTACAAACCAAAATGATCATGTAGATAACATATAAAAACACCAAAATGATGAA